TCTGGCAGAAGCCTGCAAGAGTAAAACATGTTCTAAAAAATTAAATGAGGCAGAATATCTTAGACCAAGGTCTCGGACTGCGCCACACACAGGAATAGGGGCATCGTTTAATGTAAGGATGTTCAGAGAGGGGCCACAGCCGTGGAACAATAGATTACTCTTGTCAGTGGCAAAGTGCAACTTCCAGGAGTTACTTCAGGGCTCCAGTGTGGACAAGCCAGACTGAATATAGGCTAAGTTTGGACTAGATTGCCTAGGGGCAGAACAATACACAATTTTAACATCATCAGAGAAAAGAAACGTCTTCCCCTACGAGATTTCATCAAGGTGCTCGTTGAAATAGAGTAAGAATAAAAGCGGGCCTAGCACGCTGCCTTGGATCACTCCACTAGAGATTGTGGTGGCTTCAGATGTATAGTTACCGATTTTGACTACTTGCTATCTACCCTCGGGGTAGGAAGACAACCAAGCTAGAAGCGAATTTGTGAAACCATAGGACATAAGCTTCCGCAACAATAAATTGTGTGGGACACGGTCAAAAGCCTTTTGGATGTCAAGAAATATTACGAAGATGGCACTTCCGGCGTCTCTTGCTATGGTCACATAATCGAGGTAATCTAACTGACAGGTTGTATGTGTCCGTAATAATGCCTGCGCAACTCATGCCGCCATCAGGGCTTAACCACCTATCTTTCGCAGCCGCAACTGTATTGAAGCGGCAGATGTCGTTGCTCGAGTACACCTCCCTGGGTGCGGACAGCATTCGCTCGAAGGCGTTGACGGCTTCCACCGATTAGCTAGCAATTCTCTCTCAGTGATGTCTTAATGAGATGCGAGTCTCCAAGGTATGGAAGCACGGGATCATCACATCAATCTACAAAAGTGGTAGCCGTGCAGAACGAGCGAATTATCGTCCGGTAACACTTATTCCGTTGATCTTCAAAGTCATGGATTCCATTGTAGCTGAGGCGCTCATGGAGTATCTAGAAAAAGCAATCCTCGTTCCGAAGCAGCACGGACTTCGCCAGATTCCGTCCTGCACCACTTATCTATTGATAGCTCCTGGAAGCTGGACGGAGTCTGTGAAGGCTGATGTAGGAGTAGATGCAGCCCACCTGGACTTCTCAAAGGCATTCGACTGCCGAGACCATCACATTTTATTGCAAAATCTTTAGAATTATGGTATCGGCAATCCCATTCTACGATGGATAGGCGACTTTCTCGTTCAACGTCACCTGAATATGAGGGTTCGCAGCAGCCTGTCGGAACCAATCGAAGTTCAGTGCAGCGTACCTCAAGTCTCGGTACTCGGGCTACGCCTGTTCCTGCTTTTCGTAAGTGACCTTGCAAGTGTGCTGTCTTCAAACTGCCTGCTATTTGCACATGACCTAAAGATATGGGGTGCTATCGTCTCAGTACAGGATCACACAGACCTGCAGGATGACCTGGACAAAGCGCCCACATGTTCCATAGAGAAAATGCTGCATTTCAACACCACAAATTGCAAAATGTTGAGCATACACCATCACAGTACTTACAACTACCGCTTAGGATCGGCAGTTCTACAGCGCGCTTCCCATGTGTGTGATCTTGGCGTACGTGTGCATGAGGACATTGGTGCTTGAGGCAGACGGAAATGACCCCAAAGAAATTAAACCAGCACTTCGGTCTTCTTCGTAGAGCATTCGGGAACTTTGACGCCTCCATTTTGCCGAAAATGCTTGACGCGTACGTGAAGCCACATATGGCATACGCTATCCAAGCGTGGCAACCCTGGCAAATTAGCACCTCACCGCGCTCGATATTGCATACTGCAGGGCGACAAAGAACTTCATAGGTTTGTCCCGCATTCCCTACCCAATCAGGCTGCAAACGCTTAAAATATCCAGCGGACGTGAGCGGCGTCTAAGTGGCTATCCCCTAATGGTGTACCAGATCCTGAGAAACCCCAACCACACATGCCATCCACTTTTGCAACCCAGACAAAACACATCGCCGACATAAAAACGGCACTGTCCATGAGGTTAAAAATTTTGGTCCCATGAATCACACCCACATCATATCTAGAATAATGAAAAAGATAGTGAAAGATGAACTATTTATATTCTTGACCAAGGCTAACATCATCAGCAATTCGCAACATGGTTTAATGCAAGGTCAATCCTGCGCAACATACCAGAATGACTTTTAAACCACATAACGGCTGCCATTGACAACGGAAACAGTGTCGTAATCCTGTTCCTGGATATGCAAAATGCCTTCGATAGAGTGCCCCATAGAAGGTTACTAAACAAACTGAAGACTATAGATATTGGAGAACCGATGTTTTCTTGGCTGTTTTCATATCTAATTGTTGGTGCGCATCGGGGACCATTTCTATAAACCGAAAGCAATCACTAGTGGAGTGATTCAAGGGAGTGTTCTTGGTCCACTTCATTTTCTAATTTAGATTAACGATATATTCCACAGAATAAGAAATGGTGTTACATTTACCTTTGCTGAGGACATTAAAGTTGTCTACTCAAAACCACGTACAAATATTCAGGAAGACGTACGTCTCATTCAGGATGACCTATGTGCCATAAAGACCATCGGTTACACCTGCCATCATGTTTAGGTCACGGAATCTCGTATATGACTTTTCAAAACATATGTATTGCCGTGTATGGAATACTGTTCAACGGTACAGTATAATCTGCGGAAATCTGAATAGCAAGCTCTTGAGAGGGTGCACAGTAGCTTCACGAAAAAGCTATGTGGATATTCCTCAAAGTTGACATACAGAGAGCGATGTGATAAACTTGGGTTTGACCCAGTTTTGCTTCGGATAATGAAGCTGAACCTGCGTTTTCTTTACAGAATCATAAGGTGTCATATACGCAGTCTTGATAACGGTGTTCACATATCTCTAAACAGCACATATCTAGTAGGTAACAAAGAGGTAAAGGTCATGATTCCAAAATTTACTACGAGAATCAGCGAACGTTTCCTTCTAACGCAATACTCAAAGATTTGGAAAAAGTTCCAAGTGATATCAGAATATGCTATACACTTTGCAATTTCAAGCTTGCGATTAGTAAGCATTTAACCGTCCAAGACGTGATAAATATGTTCGGAACATCACAGTCCCTAGATAACGCATTCGAAAACGCTATCCATGGTGCCTGAATAAATCTTTGAAAGACATACATATAACATGTCGGACAACAGCCCCTTTCACTATATGTTTTCTCGGCCCAAACGTCTGTCCCGTGATTGTGAAAAATCCTGGTTAAATGGCGGGAAAAGATTAGCAGAACGATAATGCTTACTTTGTGTTACCTAATTTACAATTTCGCCCATGTCTGAAAATGTATTAATGCAACGTTATGGAAAGGCTGTACCATTATTTATTCTGTTCGTTTTAGGGACCGGTTTCTCGCATCGTCGAGGAATATACAAGTTATTTATTTACTTAGTTATTAAAAGGGGTCATCAGCTCAAACTGGTCACACAGTACAGCCGACTTGAATGTCGATGAAACATTTTCTCCCTCCAAATGTCACAGCCTCGCAACGTCATCCCGGGACATGTAATTAATGTTCCCACTTTAGCTCTTTTCAAAACACGCTTTGACGATACGCTGACACATTTATACCATGTGATCTAATCCACGACCATCAGATGATGGCATTAGGGCAGAACAAACAGTTGACGGCATCACAACTGTTGAGTGCCTGGTTCTCCCAGCCGCGTCAAGGGAAAGAACTCACACCGGTTCTGCACACAAGCGTTCTCTTCACAAGTCAGATAATCTACAACTAGCTGTGATTTTAAAAAATTCACCCGCAAACTCGATTGATGGCCTGATTGATGGCACGGAAGCAGAAGATTCCCTCCCTCCCCCCCCCCCCGCAGATTTCGTTGTCTTGGTATTGTAGGTTCCGTATTGTCTTCCACTGCGGTAGAGCTTTCGAACCTGGGCTACGATCTTATTTAGCTTATTCTGCTGATGCGGCTTCTCGTCCGAGTGCCTTGCCTGTTCACCACATCGCATTTACAACTGCATTAGATAGTTTCTCTTTCTTTTCCCACCATCAGCTGCGCTTCTGTTCCAATGCCCTTCAACGCTAGGTATCTGTTTAAACCATATTTCATCTCCAGACGCTAGAGTATGAAGCTGTCTGGGTTCGTATTTGTGACTTGTCTTTCGCCGCCGTGAAAGCTTTCGAAGACGGTCTTGCAGACCATTAGTGCAAATTTTTTCGGGTTGCAAATGAACGATGGCTCCAGTATCAGTAGCGGTTGAACTGATTGTCCTTGAATCACCAGTTTTGCATTAGCGCATCCCTCCTCACGGTGATCACACTTGTTATTTGCTGAAATCATTTGCGCTACTTGCTGTGTTACACTGCCAAGTGACATAACGTTGGTCGATCGACAGCAAAGGGCGTAATGGTTTAACCGGCCTTCACAATAATCAACAATTGTCTGAGCGTTTCTGCAAGATCCGGTTCTTGGTCGTGATCGCGGAAATCCCAGACGTCTAGTATCCGCATCATATCATGGTCGATGGGCGTACCTGAACATGCCTAACTGATACGGTATAAGATATTCATCCAACTCGATCAGTGTCACGAAGTTCATCCACTTCGCTCTCCACAGGCCCCGGTTTTCGGGCAGCGAACACTCGCTCATCTGTAACGGAGTAGACATCGTTACGAACGGCTGCCAACTAAACCAAATCTGCTGATTGCTCATCCGGTTCTTCTTTTCCTCTGTCACCATATTGCGTGCCTGGTTCTCCCAACCGCGTCAAGAGAAAGAACTCACACCGTCTCTGTACCCAAACATTCTATTCACATGTCTGAGGTAATGTACAACTAACTGTGATTTTCAAACTCACTCGCCAACTCGATCGAGCGCCTGATCCATCGTACGGAAGCAGACGATTCCCTTCGTCCCAGGTTTCAGCCACCATCACAACAACCACCCTATAATCCAGGCGGGAATACTCGCCCATGTGCTACTCCCAACCCCTTGGTGAGTCATGTATCTCACACGTTCTTTTACTGACACGGTGTTGTAATTTGGCGATTTTCACCCTCAGCATCCTACGGGACATGTCAAGCATTCGCTTTTCTACCCGTCATAAATCATTGCTCCATTGCCCATCCCAAACAGCGTGTCTGGTATCTCCATTGTACATCAGGTTTCTGTCATTAATAATACAGCAGAAGAAGACAGTTGAAGAATATTGAGTACGAAGTGCATTTTAGTTGACAATGGACGAGAAATTCTTCGGATTAAATGCAATGTCTTGTCATACGTTGAGGTGCCTACAGGAATCCAAGTAGAGGACCCCAGCGATGTGGTGGTCGACATACAATTTGCGGAATTAGTGCCAGTTTCAGGGGCGGCGTGGAAAGTGTCACAGGACCTACAAAACAAGGTTGGAAAGGAGAAATAAGGGGAAAAATTTGACCCACGGTGAAATAACAGTTTGCTGGCTGTTGCATATAACCTATCTGCCTGTTAAGGTTATTTACATGTTGAGGGAGCTTGCGAGGATTTTGACCTTTCCAATTTCGCTCGGATACCTGAATTTCGCTGGCGAGTGGTTCACAGTTTATGGAGTGCACAGTTTGCTTACTCAAGTTGGTGTTATACCGATTAACTGTAGGGTTCCAGTGGTGACAGTGTTTGCTGAAACGTTTGAATTAACAGTGAGTTTGCCTAGTAGCACATTTGCTATATGAGGGTTTGCTAACTATGTTCTCTTTATAATGAAGCTGTTATTCAGCAGTTTATCCTTTAGAAGTGCACTGCTTTTTGGCGAGGGGTTCTCGGTTTCGTAACAAATGAGTGTTCGTTTTCAGAGTGTCTATGCTCCTGGTTGATGATCGACAGAGAGTGAGCCGAAATAGGCGTTTGCGCAGTAGAGCTTTCTTGGATGTTCAGAGACGAGACGCACAGTATTGGTGAGGTAAAGCAACACAGTGTGGAGTCAGAAGCGATATTCTCACAACAGTTAATATTTGTTTTCAACGTTAGATTGGATTCACTAATGACCAAAGCGTTATCTAGGTCAAACAGGTGGTAACTGCTCGTGTTTCCCTGAGTGCCGGGACAAATTGGTCACAAGCTGTTTGTCGGTAATAAGATTATTTGCATTCTCTTTGTAGCGCTGTCAAATCTAATTTCAGTATCATAGATTTATAATCATTCCTAAGAGATACCTTACGCCTACTACAAATTTACTACAGATATACTACAAATGTATTTATCAGACAGTGTTTCGTTTACAAATCCAGAAAGTATTGGACAAACCTGTTTAGAGATCTCTAAGCCTCATGCAAGAAAATTGTAGTCTATCAATATGGCAATCGTTAGCCAATGCAGCCAAGAGAGTTGCAAGAGACAACTGTTTTTGGTAAATTAGATACTATTACATTTTTGGAGCGTTTTATGCACTCACGAACTACAAATGCGACATGGTGTATAAGCTTCCTAACGGAATGGATGTTGAGTTTTGGTTTATCCGGAGTGAGAAAAAGATACATAAGAGAAGGTATTTGCTTTAGAATATGGTAAATAGGTTTAAACCTTTCCTTCAATTCCTTCAGCTGTAGTTCAAAAACAACAATCATTTGAATCGCTTTAGAGGGCGATCCCACATTAAATACGACATGTTCTATCTAGGAATTAACATGCGAATTATATTTTCGTTGCCTTTTTACTCTTACGCGCAATTGCAGCTTTAGCCTGATCTTAGGACATGAACCTTTCTTTCATACCGTGCATACGGATTGGCTATAAGTAGGGAGGTTTGCGAGCGCTTCAGCAAATTCCTGTCTCTTCCTTAAACTGCCGTTTTGACAGAGGAAACGGGCATTTTAAGTGATTATTCATCGAGTTTCAGAGCTTACAAAATCTGTTTTAGGTGCACAAGGATTAGACAGTAGAGCACAAAATTCACCGCTTCAATTACAACATTCATCACAAACCAAGCGGTTTTATTACTCAACGATCAATTATCGAAATTTCGCCAAGGAACTACTTTGATGTATCAAACCTAGTCTTCTCCATCCTTTCGCACCCGAGTAAATTTGCATGAAGCATAAATTTTCGACTACTCCAAATAATTGACTTGAGTTAGTCAAGACTGTTATGCATGGTTGTGTATTCCGCGTCTGCCGGTGGCAGATGGCTCTAATTGCTCCATCACTAAGACGCTTCTTCCCACTCTATGGAACCGCCGCCTCCACAGTATCCCCGATCTGCACCGGAACCAAAGTACTCAAAATGATCGTGTACTACTAGCCCCACATATTCCTTGCTAGAACCTTTGAAAATGATGTAAGGAACGGCAGTTTTCCCTGTCATGGCCAGTGTTCCATTTAGCCTCAATTGCTCCATAGTTTGTATATATTCATTAACTATTTTACCTCTGTGCCAACGCATAGTATGCAGAGAACCGCCAGAAAGAAAACAGCGTCCAGCTAAAATATGCTGTTGAGATTGATGGGACAACCACACCCACCCCATCCAGATGAGAGTGGTTCGAGTAATAAACAGTTGCATGAATATGGACCGTTGGTACATTAAATAAATAAATAAATAAATACGTAGAGAGCGAGACAGAAAGAGAGAGAGGGTCAAAAGCGCTCAGGTGAAAAGTGTGGCACAACGCGTTCGCCATTGGGTACCGTTCTGGTCAATATCCGATAGAGTATCCGACCAGGCTTGTTCACTGTCCTTGAGCCCCGGACCTGGGAGTTTGGAAAGCCCTACCGTGTCTAACTACTGTTTCAGCACCTTAACACCACTGGTTGCAAGTTGGCCACCTCTCCGTTCCTTCCAATCAACGCCGGCGCATGCAAACAAATCGCGGTCGGACAACCGAGGAGCGGGCTTACGGTGAACGTGCCCGAGCCACCGGAGCGCGCACAAGAAAATTAGGCCACTCAGCTATTAGTGGAGACTTTCTGACTTAAAGTTCCGACATCAAACGTCGTCATTGCTAATACGATGCTGGCAACATGCACCAGCGATACTCCGGAGACAACAATGATGAAAAACAGACAGCCTTTGGACATCACTCGCTCAAACAGGTCAGGTCGGGCAGCCACAGAGGAGCACTGCTCGTACTGCAACGTAGTAGACTGGACGTTTTAGAGAAAAACTGAGAACACGCCGACGGCTGAAATTTCGGAGGTTGACAAAGGTTACTGTGGCTTTGGTGATGCACAAATGGATCTCCTCTGTCAATGCGCTCTCACGCTGATGCAACTCCCGAGGTAAACGAACTTTACGACCACTTCCAAAGGACAGCCGGAGAGAGTGAGGGTTGTAGCAACTTATAATCCGTCCTAGAGCAAGACTTTGCACCTGGAATGAGCTTAGGTAATGCCGAACTGTTATACGAACATCTCCAATCTGCACAACATGTTTTCGACAGCCTGCGAAAAGTCACCGATTACAGCGTTGTCGTCACCAGACTCCAAGTCACGGAGCCGTTCATCTGGGAATAACTCGATGCCAACAGGCCCAGGTTTTCTCAGAGCTCTCTAAGATGTCATCCGTAGTGAAGTTGAACAAGAAGGGTGATGCGGTGCAACCCTGTCACCCACCATTCGTGATAGTAAGGAGGGACGAAATCTCTATACAACCGCACAGAATCCGAGGTTCGAGAATAATGGGCTTGGAGTATGTTAACGTACTTCACAGGCACTCCCCTTCTCAGCAGACAACTCCAGAGAGCAACTCTGTCAACTGAGTCAAATGCTGGGCGTATATATAGGAAGGGAAAGATGGTAGGTCGGCTGAAAGCACGATGTTGCTCAAACGTCTGGCGGCTCTTAAAGATGTGATCAATACAGCCCCGACCTTGGAAAAACCCAGCCTGTTCTTCAAGTATGAGCTGTCCACGTACTCCAATGAGCGTCCGCAACAACAGGAAGACTAGCAGTTTGGGCGGAACGCATAGAAGGCTGATCTTCCATTTGTTTGCGTAATCTGTTTGGTCGGATCTCTTGAAGAATAGCACGAAATCCGATAGGCCTCAGTTGGACGGAATGATTTCTGTGGCCCAAATCGCTTGGAGGGTGGTCGGTTCATAAAAGAGTGACGGGCATCCATCCTTAAGAACAGGTGGCAGTTCGTCGGAGCAGGAAGATTTGTGACGTTTTAGAACTCGAAGCTCAAAGGTTAACTGGACGTCAGTTGACAATGAAGTGCTTACACATCAGGGAACACCATGGGTAGGAAATTCGGAACTCGAGGGCAAGTATGACTAGTTGAACTGCTATGCACAGTGTTTTGCACAACCTGGTGCTGTGATTGTGAATTACCGTATATTACCGTGTATAAGCCGAGGAATTTTGGACAGTTTTCAATATCTGTAGTGGGGGGTCGGCTTATATAAAGCTTATGCTCAATTTGAAAAAATCACACGCAAAATCTACCCAGAAATACATTGCCCTTATCTTGCCTTAGCACCACTCGCTAAAGACAGACGGTATCTCAGGCGAGGATTTGAAGTGCCTATAGGTAGACACATAAAGTCTGTGTCGAAAATTATCAGTATATTGCACACTTGACTTTCGGGACGGATGGAAGTAATACAAACATAGTTATTATACAGACTCGAACACCATTTTTTCACATTTATACGGCTTTGGAAGATAGAACGAAAGGTGGACACATTCCCTCTCAGCTGGATCTTGTGACGTCGCGTTAGCGCTATTTTTGTCAACGAATCACGGTGGTTTATGCTATGCTAGCCAACCTGGTGCATTCAAAGTATAACGTCTTCCCACACCATGGATCGTGAACGTTCCTCTCACCAGCTGCTCCACTGCGATTCAGACGCATGAGACCCTCGACTATGAGAGACTGTGTCTGACATATCCTTTCAACTTACCCCGTATTGTTGGCTATCTTACCGGTTTCCTTTGACTTGACGTCTAATCAATACACATTCCAACGGGTATCTTTGTTCTGACGGCTCTAAGCCCCATTACCTGCGATCATGACACATTAGGTCGCCGAAAGGGGCCAATAGTAGAGCAGCTTTCGATTGAGCACACTCAGGTGAGAGGAACTAGGGGGAACCAGGGGACCAGCCAAGAACTCCCCGCGCTCTGAGAAGCTGCTGCTGATTGTCCGCGACTGAGTACGCATCTCAGCTACAGGGCAAACTAGACTTATTCGTAGTTATTTCCGCATGGAAGGCATTCCCCACACCGCAGCGTGAGGACTCACCCGATAACGTACAGCTCTGTCATAGTTAAGGGAGGAAAGCAGTTGTATGAACGAAGCACTGGAGAAAAGTAGGACGTTTATCGATACAAAACAAGCACAATAATAACACAAAACACAGAGTTCACCGGTCGATCACATCGGAATTGAGTGCAATTAATGGAAAGAGAGTTGGCACAGTAAACCAGCTAAGTAAAGCTCGGTATACTCTATTTGCTTCGGCCGGCTGCAATAGAAAAAATTTATGGTAAACAAGTTAATGACAACGGCCGGCCATTGAAATTCATGAGAAACCTGACGAATTCTTCCACTTGATTGCCAAGGACTGGATATGGACATTCCCTCTAACTTGTGTATAGTGTTTACATGTAATTTTGAATCCAATGCCGATAGTCCTGCAATGGTTGCCTGCAGTAGATAAACACAAATATACTATATAATGTACGGTGCGGTTGGCTCAGCAAGGCACAGGGCAGTTCGCTACACATTTCTAAATGAGTGCTGTTCCCACCCTGGTTATTGTTTTCTGTTTAATTCGCATTCATATAGAGGCCGCGATCCCGAGTAAGTCCATTCTGTAGCAGTGCCTGCACCTTCTAATTCGTTTAATGCTTCACCTGCATGCAATTAAATGAATAAATAAATAAATAGTTTATTCTCATCATTGCGAGGCATACCATCAAGGGCGTGATCATGGTAATACAGACATGTATGATCGGCAATTGCACAAAGTAGTATATTTTGACAAACAGCATGGGAACGTATGTGTCTGTTGACATGTAAAAGTATGTTTATGTCTGTATTTGAAAGTAGTTATGTTGTGTGATTAGGTAAATGTGACCCTGTGTGTGTTTTGTTCGTTGGGTTCGCCATCAAAGGGGGAAATCAATGGACCGCTTCATATCGGATGACGTTCGTGATGTGTGAATGATCCTCCGGAAAAGAGAAGAGGCAGTGACTTTATTTAGTAGCGTGTCACATCCGCCACGTCACAGTGTTTTTGAGCGGATGTCTGTGGATTTTTATAGGGAGAACGCTTGCCAGACGACATCCCACCACATCCTGGAACACTGTTGCCGAAGCATTTGCTGGAACAGGATTTACCCGAACCACCCAATTGGCACCACGGGCAGGTTGTTCGGCTAGCCAGCCGAATACCCAATACAACCACCAAAGTCGGAAAGCCCTACTGCTAAGGAAAGTATCATACAATTGGCGAACTAGTTAACCGTGTGATACATATTTCGGGCATTCCACGGCGTCTGTCTCACGCTTCACTCGCTTGTTGCACGGTTGAGCAAGTGAGGAGGAAATTTAGCATAATGCGCCATATGGGAGGGACGAAAAACCGTACGCCCCGTAGCATAATCATCACCTAGACACTACAGCTTTTCTCACCTAACTGAACGCCTAGCGTTTTCAAGTTCCTATTTAAGGAAATCATATTCCTCCAAATCTTTCAATATGGTCCGTATCGCTTTCAAGCTAGATCCAAGGGATGCAAACACCCAAACACTACGTTCTGTTCTTGGAGTGACCAAACTGAAATCGGCAGATATTATAGCACATGAGCACACAAAGTGGGATTATATCGTCTAAGTTGGATTTGCTCACTCAATAGACCGTAGTATTTACGGGTGTATGTGCCGGCTGGTTTCAAGTTGAAATTGTTATGGACCATCTGGAAGGTCTTTGGAGGAATATGATTTTCGCAAGAAGGAAGATGAAAGCTCTGTGGATTCATTTGGCTAAGAAAAGGTTCACACTTCAGACTGACTGTCGAGTAATCATTAACGCAGTGATTCCCTATGGCCAATGTTTTCTGAACATAAGCATGAATACTAATTAGATCATATCATTTTCGTGTAGCCTGATACATCGCATGCAGACATTAAAAGTGAGTCGCAATCCCTAAAGCAATTTACACTGTCCAATCTATGTCAGATTTTTGCAAACTTCCCAAGGATTCCGGACCATGTCGCGCGTCCTTGCTACGTTTCCGGTATGATCCTGAACAGCAAAAGTGCACGGAATTCACTTACGGCGGATGTCTCGGCAACCTGAATAATTTCGAATCAAAGGGGCTCTGCAAGGTGGTATGCGAAGGAGGCAGCTATCACGAGATTTTTCCCGACGATGACTGAATTATAAATGAAGTCTTATGTTTCACTTTGATATACTGAGTTAACTTCACATAATAAATATACTACTAGGTTGCGACACTTTTGTTTACTTCGTGGATATACTATAGGTAGCGGTAGTTGCTCTGCAAATTGCGTACTGTATACGGAACCGCACAATCGAGCAGCAACTTGATCACGATGTGTCCCCCGAGTAGATCATGTAAGTTGAGTTGATTTATCTGGCTGATTGCTCCTGCGATGGTTAAGTCAATCACCTTTTTCATGATTTCCTAATCGGTTCCGAAAGCCCACTGTCATGGGAAACGGTAGTACGACAGTTCAGCCAATTTAGAATGCATCATTGTCGTGTTGCTTGCACAAGGTAGCGGCCCAAGGCAATGAGATGTGGTTGTTTAAAATCTATGAACAACCTATTGCGGGAACAAATTCATTACCTTTGACATTTACTGAAACGATAAATTCACCATAGACGTACATTTTTCGGTGCTTTAGTATCAGGCTAGCATAATCATTGGCATGCAGCAAAATATACAAGCACACCACGTGGGTCGATGTTGTGTTCTCAGTGTGAGCGAACGCTGATAATTACTATCAGTCCGATGGGGACAGTAGGTTGTGTGTGGTTCTGTGGGCCAGAGAACACAAGCTGGTTGGGCCAAGGTATTCGAGCGAACGTTTCCCGAAGGCACTACTTCGGTCAGTACGATTGCATCTTGATGGATTTAGGACGTTCTTTGGTGCGTTAAGCTATCAACATCGCAACAAAAGTACATGGACCATTTGAACTCAGGCTTTCCTGTCATACAATCACAACGACCTATAGAGCGAAGATAAACGAGAGTAATGTTGGGGGTCTGGTGCAAAACGTTGTAGCCTAACGCAAATATCAAGGGTCAAGGCGTCTACTTCTTGTCACCAACCTACCGTCACAATGGTAAAACGACATCAGCAAGACCTCTTTCTTACAGTTTTCATTGACCCACGTCACTGCCAACCATTAGTCCTCAGATATCTCTGCATCAAACAAACCTTAAACTGGCAGTCTGACAACGGGACGATATTTTATGACAGATAAAATGCATAGGACCAACAGACGCAGTAGGTCGGTAATATTCGGAATTGCAAATTCTAATACTACATAATTAGACCAAATAAGATACGTAACCATTAAGCCATAGTCTAATAACATTAAGAAATACGTTTGTAGAAATGTGCTGGTAACACGCTATTAGGAGTTACTAGTTTATACGATTAATATTTACAACAAATATCTAGCGGATCGCTCACCCGTCTGCGTAGGTTTATGTGCGTCACTGCGGATGTTAGTTCCATAGAACCCAGCTAACCTGAATGTAGTTAGAGTTTGGGGAAACTGTCATGGTTGTACATGGGTTGAGATACCGCCAGGGCGTTCAGACCTAGGCAGCAGGACTATTATGGTCCTCAACCAAAGCCTTTGGCCCAAAGGCCTGTCTGCAAGGAAGCGGGAAGGTGACAGTGATTTAGTTTTACAGATATGGACGTCATGCCATTTCAAACCCCCAGACTGGAGGAGTAGAAGACGGAGTTTGTCTGACCGCTAACCATTGACCAATCTGGTAGAAGTAAGCTTCAAGGGGCCCGGAGGCATCAGCCAGTATAGCTCAATGGGTCAAGGAGTTAGACAAACCATCGCACCACTTTAACTCCAGTATAGCTACATACTGCATCAGCCGTCGCGCGGATTATCAAGGGTCGCCATATCTGCTGCATACAGCGGGGAGGATAAGCGAAAACATGCGACTGCTGGCGCCTCCCTTCTTCCTTTCCCACCTGTTTCTCTTATCCCCATCCCGACCCAATTACTAATCTTCCTTCTATAATTCCCAGTTTAATTGATAGCAACCGAAGGGCCACCAGAGTAGAACCATCTGCAGCCACCTTCCCGCAACACTCACTGGACACCCATCGGCAAAAGTCCTTTATGAGGCCACGCTGTCCCGTTTCCATGGTGACGTTCAACGTTCGCACTCTAAGACAAGTAGGTCAACTGGTTGCACTCGCACGCCCCTTGGACACACTGGGTATTGATGTGTGTTATGTGTCCGAAACTAGCATCAATGACACTAATGGGGTTGTTGAAGTAACTGCACCCGCCTTGTCCTTTCTCTATTGGTTACACGCATCCGGAGACGCCGATCCAGCACTCACGGGTCAAGCTGGTGTAGGTATCATTCTAAGCTCCAAGGCTTAGCCACCGTTGGTTGCTTGGATTCCGGTGAATAGCCGTTTACGTGCAGCCCGTTTGACGACATCAGCTAAGGTTGATTCACGAAGTAGTAACAAACGCTGTTTGTTTGTGATTTCCGCTTATGATGTCACCGACTGCAGTTCTGATTCTGCCAAGGTTATTTGATACCATGAACTGAAGGCGCTACTACGCAGTGCTACTAGTTCAGATATTATAATAATTGCAGGGGCATAAACGCACAAGTAGGTCGTCTGAACTCTTCAGAAGCTCAGCTGGGTGGTAATTGTGGGCTTAACTCCGAACGGACTGACAACGGCGAGCGCCTGCTGCGACTGTGTGCGGAGCACTAGTAGTTTCTTAGTAGCACGACCTTAAGACACATTGGGCACTGAAGTGCCACTTGGGGTCCTCCTGTAGCTGGCCAGTGATGGACCCAAATTGACCACTTAGACATAAGTTACAGATGGCGTGGTTTCATCCTGGATTGCCGCTCGTACTGGAATACCTGCGTCCACTCTTATCATGACTTGGTACGCTGTCGTTTCTCCATGAACTTTACCGGGAGGCGCACCAAGCGTCTCCTCCGATTGGCAACTGAGAAATTGTCTCAGCACTCGGTAAAGAAAGCTCATCAAGACGCACTGGGCAACGAACTTTCGCTGTCATCCTAATGACATGAGCTTCAGTGGATCTCGGCCGCCATACACGACGCAGGTGCATCTGCTTGTGGCCCTATCAATGCTCACCGCACCAGTCACTGGATATCCGAGAGGACGGTGAACCTGTTGGAATCCAAAAGAAACCTCCTGGCTGGTTCTGAGCACATTGTGACCAGAGAGGCCATTAGGCGCGAACAAAAGCGAAGCCTAGGTGCTGACAAGAATGCCTAGTGGACCAGCTGGGCTGAAGTAATGGAGGAGACAAGAGCAGTAGGCAATTGCCGCAAGCTCTTCCAGCTGATCCACACCACTGGTCTCATGAAAACCGGCGCCAGTGAGACAATCAAGGACAGCGAGGGTACACGGATTTACAATAAGGAGTGCAGTATGGCTCGTTAGGCAGAGCACTTTCAAGATCAATTCAGCTGGCCCCCTGCTCCTTGACCTCTTCCTACTCAGGGTATGCAGGCGGTGCCATGGACGGTTAGCTTAGAGGATCCATCGGAAGCTGAGGTCCGAAAAGCGATCACAGCCCTCAATCACTTTCACGTGGCTGGCCCGGATTCCCTCCCACATGCACAATATAAGGATAGAGGTGAGGTTCTCTACAAATCGCTGACTACCCTGTTCGAACATGTCCGAAAGGAAGAGACGGTCCCGGCTAACTGGAGAAAATAGATTGCAGTGACATTATACAAGAAGTTCAGTCGCACAGACTGTTCTAACCACAGGGGTATTAGCCTAACGCTACTTGTGACTAAAATACTGGCTTTAATTCACATTTGTTGCCTCACTGCGGAACGTGAATCTCGGAGTAGGGAACAGCAGACAGGATTTCGCCCAGGACGTGGCTGTATAGACCATAGGTCTACTCTGCGGCCGGTGCTAGAGTAGTTCCTCGCATACTGCAGACCGGCAATATCTTTGTTCTTTTACTTTAAGGGTGCGTTTGATTCAATAGTTCAATAGTGTATGATGGAAGATAAAGCGTAACTTTACAAGACGCACGGGATAGATATGCAAAAGAAAATCAAAAGCAAAATGTTCCAAGTTGGAAAGCGAATTATCAAGGGTCAAGCAATTGCACTTTATCAAACTGTTGTATATCTTTTAGCGCTAAGATGACAGGCTAATATTCTTTCGAGGGTCGTGATGTCTGGTGCTTTCACCACATGTGTTGTTAATGCATTCCAGTGGGAACAGATGCTGTGAGTAAAAATACTTGCAACACTTCAAACAGGAATGTTGCGTCATTGGTTTCAGGTGGTTGCCTCGGCTTTGTTTGTAAGGGGATAGGAGCAACAGTGATGTAAACGGGTGCTCGTGTTCATTTAGTATCCGATATGTGAGAATGAGATCTCTGCGAAGCGGTCGGTATTCTGAGGTGCACACATCGAGTAAACGAAGGCGCAGTTGATAACTGAAACCGGATGGTCCACGCATTGCCTTAGTGGCTCTACTTTTAGGATTCTCTAAAAAGCGAATGTCTTCTTTTAACCATGAACACCAGCCCTGCATTGCATATTCAAAGTGAGGACGAATATACGAGTTAACCAGCAATGATACTAGCCGTCACTCAAAAGTGCCGGGAGCTCGCCTCAAAAGCCTGAAGTTCAAGTTCGCCACACTTGCTGCTTTCGAACACTGGAGCGAATTGCCAAGACTTTCTTGCACGATTATATCTAACTCGCATTCACTAGTCAAGTGGTGCAGGACGTGTTGTTCCAAAAGATAGGTGCTGATGAAGTTGCTACGCACCGTCAGCATGTGGCAGTTTGCAGATTTCAGTGGGAGCTGGTTCCTTTCTGCCCATTCGTTAGTCCGAGCTAGATCATCCTGAAGATAGACTTGGTCGGATGCTGCGCGTGTTACTGTCCATATTTTAGCAACGTCTGCAAATATTTACATCGGGGATAGAATGTTTGTTGGAAGTTATTAATGTAGACTAAAAACACTAGCGGACCGTGGATGGATCCTTGCGGTACAACACCGGAGACGCATAGCCTTTCAGAGTGAGTGTCGGCCACTCTTACCTTGATTGCTCTGTCGTGTAAGTAGTCTTCCAACCAGGTGAGCAGGGAACCGTTGATACCGCTGGCAGCAAGCTTTTG